ATCTATTTGCTTTGACCCTCATTGTCATCCTACTTTGCCCATCTAGTGATGTGAGTGTAGGGTATCATTTTAGTGATTTAATGGAGCTTGGAAAACAACTAATAAGTACCATTAGAAGTAGAACACATAAGAGAAAATTGAAGATCTAAATTGTGAATATGACATGATTTGGGATGCATAATGATTCTATCAGTCATGTCAACGCTTTCTTGAGGAAGACTGAGGATGCTGGAGAGGAGACTCTTGGGCCTGTGACGAAGGGGCGAAGGGCAATGGCAAGGGAAACTTGATGGCAAGGTCGGGAAATTCCCAATATTTTGGAGGACACAGTTGGTGACCCCTTAAGGCCAGTTCCTTGTGATTCCCTTCTAGAGGTGGTGAAATTCTGCTAGGAATGGGGACAAAAAGAAAAGTAAGTTCCCATTGCTTGTCCTTAGTGAAATGTAAATGGTTGTATTATGAGATGACTTATTAAGTTATTGGTGAAACGGATTTGATAATAATAAAGATTGACAAATGTAGTTCACATGTGCGCTTATGTGGAGACGAAGGTATGGAAGCTTTGCATAACTTCTTTTTTCGGTTGCTAACCAAGGATGGTTGGTTGGATGACTCGGTAAGCATTGATTGATTTGGGATTTTGTCAAAATGCCCATGCTATGTAGTGATTTATTGATTTAATAATGGAAACAACCCTTTTGTGTAGAACATTCACATGGCCTTGCTTTTGCTACAGGAGAGGCACAACAGCTCTTGCAAGTGGGTGGGTTCTGACTGGACGATACTGGACACCACTTTCCAGGTCTGTATTATTTCATAATTATGCATGGTTATTTGGTAAATTTGGTATCCGTTATGATGCATAACTCATGTGCCTCTATGCATAAATGTGTTGCCTTAGATTACAATCAAATGAAGGTGTATATGGGAAAGGAGGACATGAAGCACAACAACGGTCTACTGGGAATGGTCAAGGGCCTAAGTTGGCTAAACCTTGGTCGTCTGTGAATTACGTTTTTATGTCCTTCAAACTATAAAGGCATTGGATCTTACTTATTTTCAATTTACAAAATTGTGAAATAAGGGTATATGATTCGAAAACAAATCTCTGTAGAACCCAAGCCATCCAATAGGCAGTGCAGCCGGTTGCAAAAATGCTGCCCCGGTTGTTAGAGGAAGCGGGATATATTGGCAGGTGAGTAATATTTCACCTGAACTCATTGTCTTATTACATTCATTTGTTGTACAATGAATAAGGGCTTCTTCGCTATGTTTCAGGGGCGACTGCGAGATGTACATTCTGAAATACTGCGAGTTTTTTATGTCAAATGTTTACCTAGCCAAAATTTCCCATGATGCCATGCCCTTATTTCAGTTGAAGCTTGCTTTACAGTTGTTGCAGGGATATTGGTAGCTGTGTGGGTGTAGTATAGACAATATGAAGTTGCAACGTTTTTAACTGGGTGGGTGTAGTATACAGTGGCGGATCCAGGAATTTTTCAGAGAAGGGGCAATTTTAAAAGGCTAAAAGCTCAACAACAACAAAATTTAGAGAATCAAATATCCTTCAAATTTAAACAGTACTAACGTCATTAATAATTCATGGAAAAAAATAATATTACAAAATGTATATTACTTTATTAATTAGATAATCAAATTGTAATTGATCATACCTCTAGCTGTGCACTACGCAACCTCTTCTTCTCTCTCGAGTTTGCTAATGATTATACAAATACAGAGACAGCCAAATCAGAAAATATATATATGAAGAAAAAAAACATATTATGAAAAAGAAAAAGAGAGGAAAAAAAAGCATAAGAAAGAAAAAATAGAAGAGAACAACAACATAAGCAAAAAAATCACAAACCTTGGAAAAGGATTGGGTCTGAATCTGACTGCCGCAAGAGAGACTTCAACAAACAGAGCTTATAGTTTTGAATTGAATTGCTCCTCTCCGCTCTTTATTAATAGGGTTTATATATAATATGCTATACTGATTCCGTATTGGGTAAGGCCTTGTGCGCATTTCTATTTTTATTTTTATTTTTGCCTGGTTCAAAACGACGTCGTTTTGGGCAAAGACTTTTTTTAAAAAAAGAGCACGCGCTGTGCGCGCAACACAGCAGCGCAACAAAAACAAACGCACAGCAGCACATCAAATAGAAAGGAGTTTCACTCAGGCAAAAACACAAACAGTAGGACTTAAAAAAAAAAAACAGAGCACGCGCTGTGCGCACAACACAGCAGCGCAACAAAAACAAAGGCACAGCAGCTCATCAAATAGAATGGAGTTTCACTCAGGCAAAAACACAAACAGTTGGTGGGCAAACCAAAGGGGCAAAGTGCGCCACCACCACAGTGTTTTCCGGCGAGGGGAGGTGCAACTGCACCTCCTTGCGCCTCTGTGGGTCCGCCACTGGTAGTATAGACAATATGAACTTGCAAAGTTTTTAATTGGGTGGGTGGTTTGTGATTATGTAGGTAAGAGTTGTTGAACTGAAATGGGTTTTCTATTCTGTCCAAAGATAAGTTGTATGAAACCGTGAACACATATTGTTGATATTATGATAAACCCTAAACCCTAAAGGTTACATGAAAAAAAATATGTTGACATGAAATTGTAGTCATTTTTCCAGAAAGGTTACCATTTCAACTTTTACATGAAATGGATAAAGGCAAAACGTATAAACAAAGTGGAATAAATACGAATGTATCTTGTTTTGGGTGAACACTATTGTGAAGTTAAGATGCAAGCATATGAAATGTTGAAAACTTAAGAGTACCATACACAGCTGACTGGGTTACAAATAGTAAACTTCCACTGCTAAATTCACCTTTGTAGATTGCCAAACACTTCTTACTTTTCCATAGCTGTCTGGATTACAAAATTACAAAACATATACTTGAAAAGCCAAAAGATTTCCACATAGGCAAAACATTTCTTATATTTTTCTCAATTTAACTACCAAATTCAAAAATGATAGAACTAACAACAGTTCGAGTATATTTTTAATGCCCTTCACTATACGTATTATTTTAGCATATGCATTAAGTTCCTTCACATCCAGCTGGTTTTGAATGTGAGATTCAGTTGGCATGTTGGCTGCAGTCACTCATTCATAGCCACTACACCTTGTAACTCCCTAAAAAAACTTAATAAATTACATTTTTTAGTTTGGGATTACAATGTAAGAGTTCATATTTAGTTGGCCCAATCTTGGTTAGTGTTTTACATACAAGAGTTTTGGGAAGATAATACTTACATATGTTGTGAAGCACTTCCAATACGGTATGCCCAGATTCCTTTCGAATTTGGAAATTAGCATCACCATCTCAGAATTACAGTGCTGACAACAAGCAACAGCGAGGGAACAAAGGCAGCGAGCAACAGATTCGAGGCAGTTGAAGGTCAGGACCTTGACAATGAAGGTGAAATTAGGGTTAGAGTTTGGGTCTTGGGCAAGGAGAGTGAAATTAGGGTTTGGGTTTGGGTTTGGGTTTGGGGAGGAAAAGGGGAGAGAGGAGTGGTAGTAGGAGAAGAAGAAGAGGATGGAGACAGAGAAGAAGAGGAGTGGGGGGATGTCTCTTGGATCTCACCATTTTTGTAGGGCTAGGGCTGGGGTTTGAAGGTAAAGAAGGGCATTGTGCGTGCGCTGGTGAAGATATCAAAATTACAAGTAGGAATAAACTTAATGAACCAAGGTGTCTTCTCTCCCATCTTTTTGCACCACCCTTATTGTCATCTGCAAGTAAAGTTCACACCTTAAAGTAAAGTTCACACCTTAGCTGAGAAATAATACTATGATGAGTTTGGTCTAATATGAGACTAAGAAGATGGATTTGCTAGATAATATTATTTTGTGTTTGATTTATAATATATTTGAATCCAATCATTTTTCCAGATAAAAATTTCTCATATTGATTCATAGATATATTGATAAAATAAATTTTAAAAAGATAATATCTTCAATATATCTTGATGGCATAAAATATAGTTCATTCGAATCAGAAGTTAACTATTAAAAATGACACTGAAATTTAAAAGCAACAAAACTAAAGCTTAACCATGTTATAATTTCAATTATTTGCACAACCTAGAACAAAATAATGAAGACATATTTACCAAAACTGATCAGAAAGCTTTTCATTTCAACCAAGTTAACAAGATATCCAAGATATCCACTACATCAACACAAGAATTAGAACAAAAGTTTACTGATACCAAAATAACACAACACAAATTAATCAAAAGGCAAATTTGTTTTCTGTCTAATTTTTCTTAGGATCACATCAAATCCCTGCAATTGCAAACCACAGAATTTATACAATAGTCAAATTCATGAGTAGAGAAGCAAATGAGAATAAAGATTTGTTCGCGCAAAACCTATAAAAACACAAACTAAATTCTATTAAACATAAGTTTAACTTGGAGGAAGATGTAGTGTTGTTTAACTCCATTCTCGCAAAATAAGGACGAGGATCATATTTAGAACTAAATGATACTTAAAACGAACACTCATGCTCACAAATGTCCATCTCCGTATCCAAAACCAACACAATTAAGCAAGAAGAACCATATTGTGAGTTCAACAGGTTAAAATGTGATAATTAGCCAATATCTCCACTGCAACAGACATTATATCAGTCTTGATAAAGCTGAGATGTATATCAGCAACAAACAAGTAACGAAGCAGAGTTCCCAATATACATGGTTCAGTCTTCAGCTCCATTTATAAAAAGAACCTATCAGCTTTAATCAGTGATATTTACCTGTTAGCGATATGCATGGCTCAGGCTTTAGTCTCCATTTCTTTTTTCAAAGTTTTATGCCATATTGGCATGAGCATCGTTAGTGAAAAGCAATGCCATCGTCAAGCTTCCAAAGTCTAAATGCAGGATGAACAGCACGTTGTCTGTTCTGGCTTTGCACTCACACACATGAATCTCACAAAATAGACAATTCAAGCTTCCCAAGTGTACATCCCAACATTGAACAGACATTGGCTATATTGCAGGATACAAGTTCTTCATAAAGTAGATTGGAAAAATTACAAACTGTACAGTAGAATCAATACAGAGAACAAGATCATTTACAACTTTGGTTTAATTTATAAAAAAAATTAACCTATAACCTATGTACAGTAAATACAGGTCCCAAATTCAAATGGGGGAGGGTCCAACAAGTACCCTGGCTATCAATACAACAGCTATGCCATTTGATTCTATAAGAACCCACTGGAAAAGCAGAAACATCAAGCAAGCAATTTGAGAACCCTTGCCCTCTTTCATTCAGTTCGAAACGCACGAACGAATTTACAAACTCACCATCATTGTTGCCCCTTCGACGCTTATTACTCTTTTTTGTACTGCACTCTGTTACGTACTGCAACAGCTTTTCATTCATCTCTACCATGTCATCAGTTTCGCAAGCTTGATAACTACCTTGCTTTTGCTGATTGTTTACTCCACTTTCTGCTGGTTCCTGAAAGGATACTCTACTGTAGAGCATGCAGTACAAGTTTTTAAACCGGACTGGGATATCTGGTGCCACATTTCTTAATTGAAGACACAGATTTAATGACAAGTTGAAGCCTGGGGAAACATATATTCCGTCTGGGTTTCTAGTTTCGTTGACAGCGAAGAGTTCTGACCCATGGCAAGGCCTGAAATTTATGTAAATCATAAACGTTAGATTGATGGTGTAAATGGAAAAGAAAAAATCGTATAATTAATAAAATGATGTTAATAGATAACCTGACAAAAATTACACAGTTAAAACTGGATAAAGCATAGGATATGTATAGAGAGATTCTCTTATCATGAAGTATCCCTTTTAAACATCAAATCAAAAGGAGGGGCAGCTAAGGTTTTCTACTCTTGGTTTGTCCTCTTCCTTTTTATTTTTCATTCCATTTTATAAACTCAAAATCAAGGCCAAATGATGTTGAGAAATGAACAAAAAGATTTTCTAGTTAAAATAAACAGTGTGACAGTGTACCTGAATTTAAAGAAGTACGTGGGCGTACGGAAAGGGATTTGCATCCATTTCATAAGAATGTCATACATAAGCTTTAAGCCATCCTTGGGTAATTGGGATAGTCCTTCCTCATTATGCACTCTGTTTGCCTTCCTTTTCAAGCCAGCAATCCCTGAAACCGCATAATTACAAACACTAAGAATATCCCTTGCTTTAGAACCAATCTTACATGCTTGGGTTCTTGACTGCATGTGAAAACAATCCATGGGATTTCTACCCGCCTCCAATAGCAGACATAGATTTTTACTGGTTTCATGGTTAGTGTTCCCCAACCGTCCAACTAGATTTTGAACCAACATTGCATCTAAATCTCTCTCTAGAATTCCCAGACCACTATTAGAAATAGGTTTAATTAGGCCTGGAATGTAGAGAGCAAATCCAGTACAGAAGGCCAACAGCGAACAACTCATTGCAAGTTCCGAAATTATTTTTGAACTCTTTTTGTCCATATCAATGAAAGATGTTGTAACTAGATCAAATTCTTGTGCTAGCCTCTTCAACTGCAGAGATATTTGAGTAATTTTCTGCAAAGATATGAGGTATCCAACCATAAGTTTCTCAACCTTTCCAGTATTGGTAGTGTTGTCCTGGTCAAATTGAATGTTTCCCAAAATTTTAACTATATCCACCACAGCTTTTATTACCTTCACTCTTAAGGACAAAAACCAGTGTTGGAAAAAAAAAGTGTGGCCCATTTTGACATCACCAACTTTTAATGTTTCCAAAGAAGAACAAAGACCATTGTAAGCTGCTGCTAGCTCTTTGCTGTAAATATGCTCCTTGATATTACTCGCTGCATCTTGGCAACCTAAATCATTACTGGAAGGTGTAAGATGTAATTTATATGTCTCTAACCCTTGTTTTGGTGATAGCAGCAGCTCTAGTTTCCTCTCAGAATCAGCAAATTGAACTAATGACTTCACCCAGCAGCTGCAGGAATTAGAACGAACCTTTAATACTAATTGCTTGAATATAAAAGTCGAGGTCAGCCAATCTCCTTGACACACTGCATACACCCCGACTCTATAAGCAGGCCAATTATTTTTTTCTGCCAGCATCCTCTTTGCACATTCAATGGTACGAAGTTCATGCTTCATTGAGTAATTATCAAGAGATATGCCCGAGTTTTTATCAGGATTGCGACTTCCCTCACTCTCATTTCCCATGTTACCCCAAATTATTTGACAACGCAGCAACAGAGAGTAGAGTGTGTATGTATAACATTCAAACAAGTTGCTTTGGCATACAAGTTCGACTAGAAGCTTCACTTTGTCAAATACTTCGGTGGAGATGGCACCAGCTTCAGTGAGATTTTCGAGAAAGGCCACCAAAAATCTGTACACCTTAAATAGAAGCTTTGATCTGATAATTCTACTGTTCTCTCCTTTCAAGTCTACACTATACGAGAGAGACTTCACTAAAACAGATATTTCATCCAGCACTAAGACATGCAAATCCGGATATTCTCGGATTAGAAGGAAAAGAAGATTGAACAGGCAGTTAACTTGTGGAAACTCAACACTGTCAGCCTGACAAAGATCCAAAATTGGCTTCACCAATATGGTGATCTGATCTATGATAAGCAAGATCACCTGAGATGGTTGAAGAGAGGAACAACGCACAATAGATCCCATCCCTGTACTTCCTTTTAGTCTTCTTGACATATCTACCAAAACAGAAATAGCCAACAGGCTCTCGGTCATGATAGGAGATCGGGATGCATTCTCAGTAATGCTTAAAAGCTTCGAAGATTCAAGGACATCAGAGGGTAGATTGGGTGGCATACATAAAATCATCTGCAAAAATGCTGGAAGTGAGACAACATAAATTGAACAACAAATAACAAGTTCGTCTGTATGAGCTGAGAAACAACCTTTCTTAACGTCTGAAGAACTTCACAAAGCATGGATGTTGGAATTTGAGGTTCATCTAGTATGCTTAACAATGTTTTCACAAGATATCCATTTACAGGAACATGACACATTCCTTGACTGAAAAAAAAATGTAGGCATCTTAATGCTGTTGCTCGCAGATGAAGAGTTTTTTCATGGCTAAGAAACAAGAGAAGCAGGTCCACCTGCATTAAGATAGCAATAAGAATTATGGGCCAAGAATTTTGAGAGAGGGTGGGTGCTACCAAAATAATTACCTGCTGAGATATAAGAATGGTTGACTTGGAAGCAAGTTTTGAGAGGGAAACCAGCATCGCAACCTGGTAATACTCATCTGAGAACTCTAACAGCAATTTTAGACTTGCCTGCAACAAAGCAGCGTTCAGTGAACATTAGAATCTAATACATAAGTGAAAAACTAATACTCTAAATGCAACAGTTTCCAATATTAGTCAGGTAAAAAAATTGAATTACAATTAAACCTTGTAAGCATTATTTGCAAGAGACTGGGAGCACCCAAGTTTGGCAAATAATCGTGCTCCGGCCAACCTTATAGCAGGCAACGTTTCTGGTGAGCTCATCATATGAAGCAGCATCTCCAAGACAACACATGCAAAGTCTTCTGATAACTCAGCAAAACATCCTGCTGCAAATAACGCTGCTTGTACCTCCAAAACATGAGAAGAAACCAAACTAGAAAGCACCAAGTATCGTAAGCTTTGATCTGATAATTCTACTGTTCTCTCCTTTCAAGTCTACACTATACGAGAGAGACTTCACTAAAACAGATATTTCATCCAGCACTAAGACATGCAAATCCGGATATTCTCGGATTAGAAGGAAAAGAAGATTGAACAGGCAGTTAACTTGTGGAAACTCAACACTGTCAGCCTGACAAAGATCCAAAATTGGCTTCACCAATATGGTGATCTGATCTATGATAAGCAAGATCACCTGAGATGGTTGAAGAGAGGAACAACGCACAAGAGATCCCATCCCTGTACTTCCTTTTAGTCTTCTTGACATATCTACCAAAACAGAAATAGCCAACAGGCTCTCGGTCATGATAGGAGATCGGGATGCATTCTCAGTAATGCTTAAAAGCTTCGAAGATTCAAGGACATCAGTAGGTAGATTGGGTGGCATAAATAAAATCATCTGCGAAAATGCTGAATGTGAGACAACATAAATTGAACAACAAATAACAAGTTCGTCTGTATGAGCTGAGAAACAACCTTTCTTAACGTCTGAAGAACTTCACAAAGCATGGATGTTGGAATTTGAGGTTCATCTAGTATGCTTAACAATGTTTTCACAAGATATCCATTTACAGGAACATGACACATTCCTTGACTGAAAAAAAAATGTAGGCATCTTAATGCTGTTGCTCGCAGATGAAGAGTTTTTTCATGGCTAAGAAACAAGAGAAGCAGGTCCACCTGCATTAAGATAGCAATAAGAATTATGGGCCAAGAATTTTGAGAGAGGGTGGGTGCTACCAAAATAATTACCTGCTGAGATATAAGAATGGTTGACTTGGAAGCAAGTTTTGAGAGGGAAACCAGCATCGCAACCTGGTAATACTCATCTGAGAACTCTAACAGCAATTTTAGACTTGCCTGCAACAAAGCAGCGTTCAGTGAACATTAGAATCTAATACATAAGTGAAAAACTAATACTCTAAATGCAACAGTTTCCAATATTAGTCAGGTAAAAAAATTGAATTACAATTAAACCTTGTAAGCATTATTTGCAAGAGACTGGGAGCACCCAAGTTTGGCAAATAATCGTGCTCCGGCCAACCTTATAGCAGGCAACGTTTCTGGTGAGCTCATCATATGAAGCAGCATCTCCAAGACAACACATGCAAAGTCTTCTGATAACTCAGCAAAACATCCTGCTGCAAATAACGCTGCTTGTACCTCCAAGACATGAGAACAAACCATACTAGAAAGCACCAAGTATTGCATACTCGCAGTCGGTTTAGCAAAATGTGCCCAACAGCCAAACAGACCCAAAGCCAAAGCCCGATCTTCAACATCCTCATTGTCAAACACAACCTTAACTCTCCTCAGCAATTCTGCCTGCATATGAACCCGAGTTTTGCACAAAACTCCTTTGTACTCTTTCCATTTGTTCCTCTTCCTGTACTCAAACAGAAAGGCCTTGACAATACAGACCCTTGTGTGCTTGTCTCCAAATTCGAAGGCATTGGCAAGACGAAGAATGATGGCATTGGAGAAGAGCTTGTCCTCGCCAGGAATTAGGTCGAACAAGTGGTAGACAGCTGGAGAAGGGTCTGGTTCTTTACTTAACTGTTGGAGTCTTGGACTGATTTCTGAAATGCCTTCGAGCGATCGACCTGGTTTCTTGGAGCGCAGGGCCTTTTCTAGCTCTATGCTCCATTCCATCACACATGCTGCTGAGTTCCTTTCCATTTCAGCTCAAACTTCAAAATAGAAAATAACTTTAGAATCAGATACGTCCGCACCAAAAGAATTCAAAACAAACTCATAATCCGTCAGCAAAGGTTTACAAATACTAAGAAACTTTTTTTCCCTTTTTGAAGCCTTGAAATAACTTGAAAATATAATCTTTCTCTAATCAATAATTATAAATAAAACTCACCATTCAATAGACAAAGGAGATACTCAGTTACATGTTTCAATGATCAATCAAACTGAAGGCACTCAATATCAGTCAACAACAATAGAATCCATCAATGTCAAAACACATTTGAGCTCTTACACACACTTGTTTAATAGCATTCCTCACACACACGCACACACACTTGAATTCAGACCTTCCCATCTCTCTGCTTTCAAGCTAGCTAGTAACCTATTGAATGAGATACAAAATCCTTTAACATTTATGAAGTTCTGAATAGTAATTACCGACTCTTAACAGCCCAATATTATATAAAACCAATCCAAAAAGATATAATCACTTTCATAATTGCTGTATTGTATAAAATTTCCACAACATACACACAAAATAAAATTCCTTGTCCCAAGAAATAACAATGAGTTGAACATGGCATCATAAAGAAGATAAGAATTAAGAACTAAAGACTGGATGTTAAAAAGCCTAAGATCAATACATTTTTCCCCCAATAGGAGTAATATAACTCTACCATAAGTGGCAACAAATAGACCCAACTCGACAAAAAATATACAATCATACAATCAAACAGAATGAAAAACCAATGCAATATCTTACAATAAACACCAAACTAGAAACTAATATTCTTCCCCAAAATCTTACATTTTGGAGCCAAAGGCAGAGAATGTTTAAAAATTTAAACTATTTCTTTTATTGAACTAAAAACTCTATTTTTTTCCTTACTTCCACATTCAGCAGTTTTGACCAGTGAGCTTTTTAGATAATTCAAAATTTGTCACAATAACTAGCAATTGACCCATCAAGTAATTTGTTGTGCTTATGAGCTCAAAATACAGAAAATTGGGGTTTAGAGATATTACCTCAAAGAGAGAAAAATCGAGAGAGGAAGACAGAGCGGGAGCGACACTGAGAGAGCCAGATCGACTGTGAGAGCGGGAGCGACTGAGAGAGCGGGATCGACTGAGAGAGAGCAATAGAGAAATCGGGAAGAAGTTGGCTGAGAGAGCGGGATCGACTGAGAGAGAGCAATAGAGAAATCGGGAAGAAGTTGGCTGCGGATTTGGGGAGAGGAGGTTGAGAGTGAGAGAGACAGTAAGACTTAATGAGGCGGAATTTTAAAAGAAAACAGGGTATATTGAATTGAGCGGGTGTATTCAATTAAAATTTTAAGGCTTTTTATCACAAATGGTCCTTGACCTTTACGAAATTATCACGAATGGTCCTTGAGGTTTTTTTGTGACACTAATAGTCCTTAACGTTTGGACTTTTTATCACAAATAGTCCTTGCCGTCAAAAATTCTGTTATGTGTATGATGTGGAAGATAAGTTGAGACCACATGTACAATCACATCGTGACATGTGGATTAAATAAATAAATAAATATTTTTTTATTATGAAAATCCATTAAAAAAACCTCTTAGAGAGTAGAGAGAGAGAGAGAGAGAGAGAGAGGCTAAATGGTTTTTTACTCTCTCTCTCTCTCTCTCTCTCTCTACTCTCTAAGAGGTTTTTTTAATGGATTTTCATAATAAAAAAATATTTATTTATTTATTTAATCCACATGTCACGATGTGATTGTACATGTGGGCTCCACTTATCTTCCACATCATACACTTAACAGAATTTTTGACAGCAAGGACCATTTGTGATAAAAAGTCCAAACGTTAAGGACTATTAGTGTCACAAAAAAACCTCAAGGACCATTCGTGATAATTTCATAAACGTCAAGGACCATTTGTGATAAAAAGCCAAATTTTAATAGATTTTTTTTTAAGATTAGAAAAAGTATGGTGCTATTCAATTATGATTTTTAAATAATCAATAAAAATTCGATAGTATTCAATTAGGATTTTAAAATCATCAATACAAGTCTGGTGGTATTCAAAAACTTACCAATTTTGAGATATTTCATTATTCTTGTTTTGAGACTTTGTGAGAGAGTGATATAAATAACAACCCCATAAAAAATCTCACCCTATTATATATGATTCTCACATTGTTTTTGTTTTGGGAGAAGATGAATAGACACTTGAGGCCCCGTTTGGTGGGTTGAATTGGACTAGTTAAGATTGAGCTTGGAGTGTTGGAAAGGACTGGCTTAGACTTCAAGTACTATTGAGTTGTTTGGTAGAGCATTAGACTAGATTAAACTTAAGTCCAAGCCACACTAGACAACATTGGACTTCTTTTCTTAAATTTTTTAAATTTCAAAATTAATTTATTGTTTATTAGATTATTTAATATCATAAAAAAATTAATTAAAAACGCATCAAATTACATAATCAATATTTATATTCAACAAAAAAATTAAAAAACCTAGAAGATGAAAAAATAATCACAATTAATTGAAGAAATAAGTCAAATATGTAGAAAAGATCAGTGATTGATCTTAAAAGAAGAGTGGCTATCTTCAAGTTTATGTCAGATTGCACTTGATATCATCCTTGATCATAGGAACGTAGAGAAACAATGGAATCAGCATAACAGAAAACAAACATGATGCTACAAATATCTTCTTCCACTTTTGAAGGAAAGGGGCCCCAATTCCGAGTTTAGGCGCAAAACCCAGAAAATGATAAATAAAAATTATGGTCTAAGAACTTCTTCCCTCCTCCACAAACCCACCATTTCCTTCCATTTTTCTTATTCCTATTTCCGAGAGAGAGAGAGAGAGAGAAGTGAGAAGATTGCTTGAAATATGAGGGAGCATCAAAGAAGAAATAGAAGAAGAGAAGAAGAAAGGGGGCTCGACAAAAAAACAAAAAGAGGGAGGAGAAAATCACAAAGATAGAGAAAGAAAGGAAGAGAGAGAAGAGAAGAACCTGGGAAGAGGCATGCTTGTTAAGAGCACCTCCACCCCAAAAGGCAAGGGCAAGGCAAGGTTTCACATGAATAGTGCCAACCTTGTTTTTTTTGGTTCCACCCCAAAGGGCAAGGGCAAACACTATTCAATTTACTTTATTTTCTATTTTTTTTATACTTAAACCGTTAATTTTGATAAGCTTTTCAAATAATATTTTCAGTTGCCACGTGTCACTATTTATTATAAAATTCTCACCTAAAATTTCAGATAACATTTTCAAAAAAAAAATTCGAATTAAATTTTCGAATAAGATTTTCAATTGTCACGTGTCCATCAAAATTCAGATAAGATTTTCTGATATTTATTATAAAAAAAATTATAATCTTATATTTCAGATAAGATTTTCACCCTCTAAAATTGCGCCGCATGTCATCTCTATCATCTAAATCCCTCTATAAAACTACACCCTCAACTCATACCTCTCACGCCATATCTTCTCTATTCTTTCATTTCTCAGATTTTACAAAACACATTATACTCTCAATGTCTAACCTGAGAAGGGTGTTGGAGAGGCAAGAGTGAGAAGAGGAAGAAATCAGGCACAAACGTGCTGAAGAAGATTGTGAGGCCGATGAAGAGGAGGAAGAAATGGTTGTAGCGGTGTGTATGCTAAATGAATCAAGGCAACACCACCGTCGTCGTGCCCCGAACGTTGATAGACATAGGCAGTCTCGGGGTAAGAATCTCTTGGAAGATTACTTTATCCCAAATTCATTATATCATGTTTCTTATTTTTGAGAGAGATATAGAATGCAGCCTCATTTGTTCCAAAAAAAAATCATGCATGATATTTGCAATTATGACACATACTTCATTCAGAAGTATGATGTTGTTGGGGGTTTTAGGTCTTCTTCCGGAGCAAAAAATTACAGCTGCTTTGCGGATGCTTACTTATGGGGCATCTGCAGAGCAGGTGGATGAGATTGCGGGGATGGGAAAATCAACTATCCTAGAGTGCTTGGTGAGATTCTATGATGCAATAGAAAATCTCTACAAGGGGTAGTACCTTCACAGACCTATGACTAAGGGCCTCTGAAGGCTTGTACAAAAAGTCGAGGCTTGAGATTTCACAGGAATGATTGGAAGCATTAATTGCATGCACTAGTAGTGGAAGAATTGCCCAATTGCTTGGCAATGAGATTATGGGAATCGAAAGAGCTAAAAAAAGTATAATTCTGGAGGCCATAGCTTCACTCGACATTTGGGTTTGGCATGCCTTCTTCGAACTTCTTCGAAGTTTTCGGATCTCAGAATGAATTCAATGTGCTTGGTCAATCCCCGGTGTTCAACAATGTATTGCGAGGTCATTCCCCCCAAATCACGTACCAAATCAACAATATCGCATTATGATGACTTGCATCATCCTCCATAACATGATTGTGGAGAATGAGTATGAGTATGATACTCCAGAGGTGTTCGAACCCAATCCCATGAGCACGGCGTTGACAAGAATTTATGAAAGGCCGATGAGAGCAAATGGACAGCTAATGGAGCACGAACCGTTAATTTGGGATGATCGATACAACAACCCCATGATTGATCGTTATAAGGAAATGCAATCTTCATATGTTCACAAGATACGCCAAGTTGACTTGATCGAACACTTATGGGAAATGAAATGCAATCACAGTGGATGAAGTCAAGTTTAATGCTTTGTTTGGAATTATGCTTTGTTTTTAATTATGCTTTGTTTTGTGTGTGGTGTGTTTGGAATTGTGCTTTGTTTTTAATTATGCTTTGTTTTGTGTGTTGTTTGCAATAAATTAAGGTTTGTTTTTAATTATACTTTGTTTTGATGTGCAAATGTTTTTAATAAATAGTCATATTATTTAATGCTATCTTTATTGAATAAAAGGGAAACAATACAACAAATTAATACATATGGCAAATCTTTCAATACAACCTAATGGTTTTGATCATTTAACCAATCCGTATTGCTAGGTCTATCATCATGGAAAAGCTTTCTTCTCATCACATCCCTTCGTTTTAGCTTCCAATAGGACTTTGTTTCAGGAGACATATGGCTCGTATCCATGGCCATGATTTTCATCTTTCTGTCCTCCATGTCTTATTCTTGTGCATGCTGCCTTTGAATTGCAAATGCTTCATGTCATGCTTTGTCCGCTTCTTCTCTTTTCAAGTCTCTCTCAATTCTCAGTGTGCCGTTTTTAGCAATTTGCTCCAAAAATTGTGCACATTCATTATTCAAAGTGCTTCCTCTCTTGGCCTTTGCCGCCTTTCTCCCAAAAGGTCTCGACACACGTTGGAGTGGTGAGTCTTGATCCGTTGGGGAGTCTAATGGCGAATCGGTTGCCGGCGAATCGTGGAGCGGCGTCTCATTCAACGCAACCGTCGGACCAGTGGAAATAATTTTGAATCTTGAACAATTCTTCACAACTTCCCAACATTGGTGACTCATGAAACTTTTTTTGCCTGGCCCCATGACACCGGACCACATTTGTGTTTGTATAATCTATTAAAAAATAATAATTGGAAATGCAAGAAAATATAAACAAATTGGAAGTGCAAGAGAAAAAAAAAATTAATATGCAAGAAAATATAAACAAATTGGAAATGCAAGGAAAAAAAATTGAATATGCAAGAAAAAAAAAGTTACATTAAATTGAATAAAAAAGGCATTTCTAAATATTTTACCTCATCGACAAGATTTTGACCGCTTCAAATGTTGTCCCTCGTTTTTGCCAACGCATCTCTAAATTTCCCTAATTCTTTATTCAAAATTTTCCACCTACTAGACAAGGCCATTTCCGTCCAAGGCGAACCCGATCTTTCACAAAATTCTCCATGAATTTTTCTCCACATATGAGAGAACTTCATCTCATTGCCCGTGACAGGGCAATGACTAATTTTCACCCAACACTCACACAACACAATTTCTTCCTAAGTTGCCCACACGCCTTCGGCTTCGATAGAAGAGGCCATTTGTTTTTTGATACAAATGGAAAGTAGTAGAAAAATGTGATTGAAAAGTAAAAGATATTGGAAGGAGAAGAGTTTGTATGAAGATTTGGTGTGGAAAGTGAACAAATTTGTTAGGTATTTATAGGGAAAAAAATCCAGAATTTTTTGGTTTTTTTTATTTAAAAATTTTCAAATTTTTTTACAATTTTTTTTAGCCAAAAAGCCAAAAAAATCAAGGCCGTCGGATTTCTGGACAAAATTCAATTGGAGCGTCCGGGAAGCGCCATGTGGCGTCTTACTGTTGGGGGCTGTCAACGTTGGCGTCAACGTGACATCACAGCTAACATCAGCGCCTTCGGGCAAGAGCCCAATCCATATTTGCCCGTGGGCTTGCCCGGGCTGGTGTTGTAGTGCTGTAGGGGGAATTGGGGCCTAGGGGGCCCTGTTGCCTTGGCAGGGCCCTAGCGCTGCACTTGCTCTAAGGGAAGAGCGAAGAGGCAGGCTGGCTCTCTGGAAAATACTCGGATTCTAAACCCACATATGGGCTTAGGTTCTGGAACCATAGTTATTTGGGACATTGATCCCATGCCCATATCGAGTCCTAGACACACTTAAGCTCACCAAACAATGGATAGGATCCATGTCCATTTTAATTGAAAATATCCAATCTAGTCTAGCTCACCAAACAAGGCCTGAGAAGATAAACAAGGTTACTGCTTCTCATCTTTTTGATGATTATTAACTCTTCACATGCTTGTTCTCATATATGTTATTACCTTCTTTTTTTTTAGATTCATTATTATACCCAATATAGGAGCCCAAATTATATAAAAAAACCATATATGAAATGAACTTTAGAAACACACCCAAAACTCATTTACAACATATCAAAAAGGCTTTTAACTTCTTTTAAATTACAAAACTACCATTGATTTCTTTAAACAAACCCAACCCCAAAACCTCATAAAAAAAAAATCCAAAACACTCAATAGGGTATCAAAGTAATTTAATAATCAAAATTAAATTTAATAGGTTTTTTTTTATAGAAATTAAATGGTATAGGATTTATCTATATTATTAGTGTTAAGAATGGGTATATGACTAAATATCTCCTTTTTATTGTCTCTATATGTATTAGCTATGTTGCTTTGTTGTGTGGCACAAATCTGCATACATCCAATTTATCAATTATTAATAAAGAGTGTGGAACAGACAAAGAAGAAGAAACCAATAATGTAATCACATGATTGGTAGTTTGAGTGTTTTTGGTTTGTTGCGCACTTCCTAATCTTTAGGATTGATTTTTCTTTTTAGGCTTTTTATCACAAAACGTCCCTGACGTTTGCGAAACTATCAGATTGCATCCTTAAAGTTTTTTTGTATCACTTATGGTCCCTAACGTTAATATAGGTGCTCTTAAATAGTCCCTCTGTCAAAAAAACTGTTAAATCCAGGGATATAATCGTCAAATCAATTCAAAATTATAAAAATAAAAATAAAATTTCTTTCCTTCCCTTCTCTCTTTCTTTTCTTCTTCTTCTTCTTTCTCTCCGCCAGATTCCTTATAGCAAACACAGCCAAATTTCTCTATGCTCCCTAAACCACAAAGGTTACGAACTTTACCTTCTCTAGTTGAGTTTTTGAATTGGGTGATTTTTTTTCTGCGTAGGGTGGGAATGTGCCTTTGTCTGAAATGTTGGGTACATTTGCTCTATCTGTTGGTGCTGCTATAAGTTCACTGACTGCTTCTCAATTGGGGAAACTTAATTAAATTGAATTGATTTTGAAGTTTTTTTTTCTTTACACTGAAAACTGCTGAATTGATTTAGATTTTATATATGTAAATTTTAGGTGGGAATGGAGTTTTGGGCAAGATGGGCTCATAAAGCTCTCTGGCACGCTTCTTTATGGCATATGCACGAGGTTTGCTTCGAATTTTGCTACTTTTTGTTACCTCTTTGATGCCAACAAAATTTTGAGTTTGGAATTTTGTTTCTTTTCGTTCACTGGGAAACCAGCAATGAAAGAAACATGACAAGCTTGAGTTTTTATATTGTTTTTCCATTCAGTTTCTTAGCAACCAATCAGTGTTTGATATTTGATATGAACTTTAATTGCAGTCTCACCACCGACCCAGAAAAGGTCCATTCGAGCTTAACGATGGACTAGTTTTTTTTTACAGAGGGACTATTTAAGAGCACCTATATTAACGTTAGGGACCATGAGTGATACAAAAAAATTTTAAGGATGCAATCTGATAGTTTCGCAAACGTCAAGGACGTTTTGTGATAAAAAGCCTTCTTTTTATTTAGCATTTATTTCATAAAATAATATTTACTTTTGGAAAAACTGGAGAATGATGATTCGAATAAAGAGCTTAGTTTTGTTTACTTTGGTCTTCTAGTCCCACTTGGAGAAGAAGGAGAAAATGACCGTCTATGCTACGAATTGACATTTGGGATATAGGAATAACTTATCTTTTCAATAATTTTATCTTTTTATCATTAATTTGATTTTTAGTGAGATGCATGCATATTCAACAAATTCAATCGACCCTTTTCTCCTGTTCTTTTCTTTATATAAAACTCAAATGTGAACTCTCTCGTCTAGCAATTCTGATAAAAACCCGAGGACCTCTAGAACATGAAAAATAATCAAGGGTTTGCATACCAATCAATTAATGAAAGTTTATCAAGTTATATAGGTGATGGTATTTATTACATACTAATAAAAGTCTAATCTATACTTTTGTTTGCTCATATTGGTGTATCATTATAAGAAGATTGAAGCATACTTTATGAGTGCTGCTAAATGAACCCTAAAATTAACTGAGTACACCCTACTACTAAACTATTTATTGAATTACTAATTTATCCTAATATAAAATGACCAAAAAGAATATATTAAATTGTAAAACAAATGTAATTTTAATAAGCACACTCTAATTTTAATAAGAAAAGGCCACGAAATGGCAAAGCCATGAGGGAAACAGGCAGACAAACACTTATCAACCTCCATTGCTTCTTAAGCCTCCTCTTCTCTCCAATAATACCAAACCCGCTTTAAAAACCACCACCATCATCAACCACCCAGGCTCTTCTTGGGTTTAGGGCCCTTTTTTCTTCCTCTTCCTTCACCACTACCACCATTTTTTAGAAACAGAAAGCATCAAATATCCCAATAAAGACTCAAAAGATTCTTGAGCAGTTTAGACTCAGAAAACTCGAACTTCTGCAAACTTTTGCAATTGTACTAGGTTCGAAGTTACAAAAAACATACTTCTTATATGTTATTTGTGTTGTAGCTGCTAAGACAGTAAGAGAAGGTTCAAAGACCAAGTATCTACAAGCTCTTATGTACCAATACATGATACAGCGGTAGGGGAGCCTAATAATAGGAAATAGATTTTATCCGTTGCCAATGCAAAATTTTAGCATAATGAACTCTCACAACCGGTGGAAGCACACAAACATTTGACTTGGCATAGCAAACTAATTTTAAATTACATTTAAAAAAATGTAATTTTAATATATTGAATTGTGATAGATTGTATTAGGGTGTACTAGGGGTATTTTTGGTAGTTAAATAAGGTGTACTTAGTTAATTTTACAATTTAATTTAAATATTAAGGTGTACTTAGATCATAGGGTGTACTCAGTTAATTTTAGGGTTCGTTTAGCAGCACTCTACTTTATTTGCTCAAGAATATCCAGGTAACCATACATCACTAAAATTTGGGACTTTCTTTTTTTGCAAGTATGAATTTATCCTAATGTCCGTTTCTCATGTGCTTATTTGAGGTTGAGGTTGGTTGTTTTTTGTTAGTGCAGGTTTGTTGCTTCTTGACCCCTTCTTCACTAGGGACGTGTGTTCTTACATAGAATTCTATGGTGTGAGGTCTTATCTTAACCATTGGATTAAATTGGTCAGTTTGATCCAACGATTAAAAGATAGGGCCTCATCTAAGGGCTTTTATTTTTGGGTCAGCCTTTTTTAAAAGATAGGGCCTCATCTAAGGGCTTTTGTTTTTGGGCCAGGGTTTTTTTTTTTGTTCTCCCATGGACCGTTTTGCTTATTTTTTTTTATTGCTTAGACCCCTATTTTGGGCTTAGTTGGTCTTTGTGGGAGGCCTTTAGTATTGCTATTGTTTTTCTTTCGGAGTGTTCTAAAAGATGGAACTCTTGAAGTGAGTATGAAGATGCAAGTACCTGAAGCTAGAACCTCCAATGAAAAATTCATTATGTGAATGAAAAAACACAATGGTTTTAGACATTAAACAGCCAAAAAACAAAACATACATCTGATGTAGAAAATACAGGTACCAAATCTGCAAATCTTAATTTGCCTTTTGTATGCTTTAATGAACCAAACCACCATATATTTTTCTTTTCTCAATCAAACCATTTTTTCGCATCTTTGTTTGTTTGGCTTTCACTTTTGCCCTGCATGGCGTTTAGTGAGATGGGGTGTAAAAGCCAACAAGATGAGAAGGTCGAAAGCTTGTGTTCGGAGGTTGAACTACAAAACGTAGCGGCGCAGAAAATTTCTCTATACTGTGCAACAAAGCTTTGAATCAATAGAAGCCAAACATATGCAAAACGCTTGGTAGCCTGTCAAGGGATATCTGCAATAGAAGAATATGGTAGTCAGAAGCCTAACACATATAAACCCATTCTCTTCATTCGCATTAGGCAAAAGATTTCAAATATGCATACTTCAATATGGATCACCTTGTTTGCTTATTATACCTGTAATCCATCACATACTTTGATTTCCCAACCCTTCCAAGCTGCAGAATTGTCTGCTTTCCGTTCTCCTAACAAGACATAAAAAAGTTAGCATCCTAAACCAAACATGTTGTGAAGTTGAACACTGGTTCAGTCACCCAATTATTGTCATAAAACAAAGCATTCTTCTGAGAGTCTTGATCACGGTGTTTCTACAGACGGATATGCAACATAAACAGACATATTATACAAGCATCCTAAATTAGTACCAGGTTCTGTTTCACAGTGGTTTCTTAGCAAGTAAGTTTACATTTTAGATGAATCTGATTAAAATTTTGAGTCATGATTGCTTGTAGTACCTCTAGAGTCAGCTGGAAATTCTTAACTGAACTTTGGATTCTAAGCCCAGCTCTTCCCCTATCTCTGAAGTCTAACTCATATTGCTTTGAAATCTGAGTGAAAATAAAAATCAATCAATGGACAGAAACACAAAACAAAACATGACAAAAATGTATGCGCTGAGGTAATATTACATCCTTTCGTAGACCTACTTTATTGTAATTGGGAACCCTTGAGCATAGCTGATGGACTTTGTCCAGTTTCTCCTCCCATTCCTTTGGGAGTCCCTTAATGTGTTGTACCTACAAGAGAAGAGTGTGAAGCACTTTAGTTAAGTAGTTTACCCATTAACTGGATTTCGGTATGGAACTTAGTAGTACCAGACAAGATAATATTCAATAGAAAAATCCGCTCCATATATGTGATCAATTCTTAATGTTGGAAACCTTAGATATCTTGGAAACTGCTGTGCTCACCTGCGTAGTATTCTTTAACTGCATGGATTGATGCTTGGCTATATATGCCCTCGAACGTCTGTAACTTCCTGTCCAGCTCGAAATTGTCGGCGTAAACCTGTAAAGGTAAGGAAACATTACAAGTTGAGAGAGGAGAGTGTGAGCGTGTCTATGTGGGTCTGTGAGAGAGAGAGAGAGAGAGAGAGAGAGAGAGAGAGAGAGAGAGAGAGAGAGAGAGAGAGAGAGAGAGAGAGAGAGAGAGAGAGAGAGAGAGAGAGAGAGAGAGAGAGAGAGAGAGAGAGAGAGAGAGAGAGAGAGAGAGAGAGAGAGAGAGAGAGAGAGAGAGAGAGAGAGAGAGAGAGAGAGAGAGAGAGAGAGAGAGAGAGAGAGAGAGAGAGAGAGAGAGAGAGAGAGAGAGAGAGAGAGAGAGAGAGAGAGAGAGAGAGAGAGAGAGAGAGAGAGAGAGAGAGAGAGAGAGAGAGAGAGAGAGAGAGAGAGAGAGAGAGAGAGAGAGAGAGAGAGAGAGAGAGAGAGAGAGAGAGAGAGAGAGAGAGAGAGAGAGAGAGAGAGAGAGAGAGAGAGAGAGAGAGAGAGAGAGAGAGAGAGAGAGAGAGAGAGAGAGAGAGAGAGAGAGAGAGAGAGAGAGAGAGAGAGAGAGAGAGAGAGAGAGAGAGAGAGAGAGAGAGAGAGAGAGAGAGAGAGAGAGAGAGAGAGAGAGAGGAGAGGAAAAAGCTTACGATACAACAGCAAGAAGCGACTTAGACTGTCTGCTCAAGGAATTGGGAGGGCTACCCTGCAAGTAAAACCTTTATCATCAACCAATTACTGATAAACCTATTTGTAAAATTCATGGAAACGCATCTGATTGCCACTTTTACAGGTAATGATTCATAAGAGTTCAATTTTTAACCTGATCCCATATATGGTATTTTGAACCCATGAGGTTTGCATTTACAGTCCCAATAAAACTATCATCTGAATGAGATAATATTCCCTTTACATTCTGAGCAATAGTTAATTCAGATTTCCCATTCCTCCGCTTATGGTGTGCAATAGCTAGTTTCCGGTCTTGCCTTCCCTTGCCTTCCTGTAAGTTCATATATACCACATCAAAACAATTGACTCAGGAGTTTAACATGATTTACCTTCTTTTCAATCTTAATAGTTTAGTTCATCACAGAAAACAACTACATCCACACACAAACAGCAATACATAAGGGCAGGTTAGAGAGGAATAGGATGTTGGGAAGTCTTATCAGAAACTCAAGAATGGATAAAGCCATGAAGTTTATGATAGAATCAAAGTAATAATGTAACATGATTAATATGTCAAAAAAGGTGCAGATACATATTTCGAATGATAAAAAGAAACCCCTAATCCTAATCCACTAGGAAATATCTATGTATTTTTCACTTTATTTATGTAAATTGGTTTTGCAATGTTGGGTTATATTAGAGTCTAATGTAGAAATGTAGCTTCTTTTTTAACAATCTGAGAATTGACTGACAAGCCAACTACAGGACTATCAACAGCAGAAAGTGTTATAGAACACACACCACCATTATGGTCTAGGCAAAACATCGAACATAACATAAGCCCCATCCATCGATTATTACATTATCGTGGGTACTCAATACAAGTATAAAACAATACCAACTTCAGAAAAGTATCTTGTCCAAAGTCCAGTGACAGAAATTAAGATTTCTAATAATTTGAGATTAAAGATATTTGGTGGAGGAAAGAAAAAAAAAATCTAAAGCAACAGTGCATTATAATAACATTATTGAACAAGCAACATTAGTGAAATTAATGTGCTTATATGCTGATTCAACAATTGACTCAGGAGTTTAACATGATTTACCTTCTTTTCAATCTTAATAGTTTAGTTCATCACAGAAAACAACTACATCCACACACAAACAGCAATAGATAAGGGCAGGTTAGAGAGGAATAGGATGTTGGGAAGTCTTATCAGAAACTCAAGAATGGATAAAGCCATGAAGTTTATGATAGAATCAAAGTAATAATGTAACATGATTAATATGTCAAAAAAGGTGCAGATACATATTTCGAATGATAAAAAGAAACCCCTAATCCTAATCCACTAGGAAATATCTATGTATTTTTCACTTTATTTATGTAAATTGGTTTTGCAATGTTGGGTTATATTAGAGTCTAATGTAGAAATGTAGCTTCTTTTTTAACAATCTGAGAATTGACTGACAAGCCAACTACAGGACTATCAACAGGACTATCAACAGCAGAAAGTGTTATAGAACACACACCACCATTATGGTCTAGGCAAAACATCGAACATAACATAAGCCCCATCCATCGATTATTACATTATCGTGGGTACTCAATACAAGTATAAAACAATACCAACTTCAGAAAAGTATCTTGTCCAAAGTCCAGTGACAGAAATTAAGATTTCTAATCATTTGAGATTAAAGATATTTGGTGGAGGAAAGAAAAAAAAAAAAATTCTAAAGCAACAGTGCATTATAATAACATTATTGAACAAGCAACATTAGTGAAATTAATGTGCTTATATGCTGATTCAAATTGAACCCAAAAGTTTTTCAAACAGAAGGCAAAATGAGGATTTTTCCAAATGAAGATATGCTTAACAAGTTCAAATTCCAGACATCTTACATTGGTATAAAGAGAATACAGAGTACCCCCATCTAATCC